AAAAAAAAAAAAAAAACAGCGTGGTCTTCGCCTCGGCCTACCGCTTCAGCGTCCTCTTCTCCTACACCGCCGCCGACAGCTCCTACACCCTGGCCCCGACCGTCGGCTGGACCGCGATCGAGATGTCGGCCGGCATTGTCTCCGCCTGCTTGCCGACCATCCGGCCCGCGCTGCAACTCGCCGCCCGCACGATGGGCATCCAAGCCGTCATGCCCGCCATCTTCCGGAGCACCGGCCACTCCGCCAACCACCTCTCCTCCAAATCCGAGGCCACTCAGCTGGGCAGTCGTTTCGCCGCGGGCGATATCCCACTTTCCACGGGTGGCGGCGGCGGCGGCGGCGATGGGGGCACGTCCTCCTCCCGCCCCGTCGTCCGCCATTCGTTCTACCATCTCCCCGACGAGGGCGAGCTGTCCGAGATCGACAGCGTCCCGTTGAAGATGGAGGTGTCGCTGCGGCCGAAGCATGATCGGGGCCAGACGGTCACCAAGATCCGCGGGCGGACGAGCGTGGCGTCCGGGGAGGACGATCTCTTGCCGCTGCATGGGATCCGCGTGCAGAAGGACTTTAGGCAGGATGGGTAGGGGCTTCGTTTCTTCTTCTTCTTTTTGTGTCAAGTTTTCTATAGCGGGGGGCATTATTTGGGAGTTTGCTTTTTGTATTGAAGTATGATTGGGTAGTGGTTTGGATGTATATAGTGTATTTATATCATGTGTATATTAATGGTATGGCATTAAGAGTGTCAATGTCGAGGCAGTGTTGCCCGGCGGAGCTGGGATTCCACGAGGCTGTATCTTGCTGCAAGTGCCTGTGCCTGACCTTCACTTTAGCTTTCCTTTTACCAAATAATCTTCTCATTCTCTCTTGCGAACGAGCATGGAAAGACACAAAGAAGGTGAGTATAGTAGATGTAGAGGCCGACGGAAAGAATTATATCTTCCATAATATATCCAGAGCCATTACGCTCCTCTCACATAACACATTGCTCATGCTGAAAAGATATCTCGCCTCGGTTGAAACTTCAGTGCCAGCGTCACAAAGATAAGTTTATCAAAGAACGTGGTCGATACTTCGCCAACGCCTTGTAAGGAACGTGGAGCCGAGTCCCGCCGTCAAACAAAGAATGCTATTCCTATTTACCTTTGTTCTACTGTATGTCTTCTTCCTCCACTCCAATCTCTTCCAAGTTCCCATGGTTTCAATTGTGACGAAAAAGATTGAGTACACCTATAAAACCCTTCCTCACCCTCCATCCCTCACGATCTCCACACAAGCCTACTTAGCCCAGCAGACAAGTCCCCAAGCGACCTTGTAGACCCAGCACCTCCCACACCCTAACAAGTCAACACCTAAGCCCCAACACCGGTAAACAATGTCCTACACAACGCACCCCACCCCCCTCACCTGCATGGTCCGGTGCCACGCCAACGCCTACGCCGTCGACGGCTTCTGCGGGCTCTGCCACGAGCCCCCGGCGCACGGCAGCCCGCTGAAGTGGCACTGTACCGGGTGCAGTGTGGACTTCCACACCGAGTGCTTCCGCCGGTGGATGGACCGGGCCCTGCGGGTGAGTCTGGTGTCGACCTGCCCCAGCTGTCGGTCGCGGTGGGAGATGATCCTCACGGGGCCGGAGGCGAGGACAGCCACGCAGTTCCTTAGTTTGGGGGATTGAGGCTTGGGTCTGTGGGTGATCGGTGTGGTAGGATGAATCGGTGGACCTGGCCATGGGCATGTAGTGTTTGGCTTACGTGAAGGATGTTGGATTGATCCTCTGCAATGACTTGGGTTTCTTTCATGAGTTTGTGCTTGGTTCGGAGACTCTCGTAATCGTGGAGATATTAGTGAGTGTTCAGTTTATGCCATTGATTCGCTGGCTTTAGTGGCTGAAGTTGAGTCATATAGATGCGAATAGGACTTTACTTGTATGTTTGTTAAGAATCTCGAACGTAGTGATGAGACTGCTGTGTGGGCACTTTTTCCCTACTCAACCTGAGACGAAAGAATAAAAGAACAGAGTCTAAATCTCCTCAGGTAATTTTACAGTGGCCATGCATATTGAACTGTCAGCAATTAATTAAGCACTATTCACTATACTGTGTAATCTTGCCGAACCAAGTTGTGAGTCCCGCTGGCTCTCGTCTGTGCAGTGGGGTCGGGCTAAAGGTGAGCGGTGGGTCATCGTTCTTCCTTCAGCCTTCTACCCCCCGCAATCAAACACTCTTCAGAGAGGATCGATCAGTCGCGCATATCCCATCCATCCATCATATCGAGTCTAAACAGCAAGCCTACTCAGCTAGTCCAAGCCAGCGAGAGTCTCCTTAGAGTCGTGATTGCGGATCTCGAGTGGGGTCGAGGAACCACGGACTGACTCTGGCAATCTTGCACCCACGGTGGTGAGGTGCACCTCGACCTCCACAGAGACTCTCTTTGCGTTGCATACATTGCTTCCGCATATTGCCGCAGAGGCTGGCTTGGATAGGGCGGCTGATTACATATAATTTGATGCTAATACAGGAAAACTCGACTTTATATAGATAACTGTGCAATTGCTGACAATTCAAACGATGTAGGTAAACGCAACTTTCGAAGAAAGTGGTCGCCGACAAGAGAAATGTGTCTGGGGCGCAGAAGCCATTGAAGCCGACGTACCAATCAATCATCCTCATCGCTGGTAGATTGGCTTGAACTGCTCTCACTTGAGCTGGCCTCGCTGGAGCTGGCCTCGCTGGAACTGGCCTCGCTGGAACTGGCCTCGCTGGAACTGGCCTCGCTGGAACTGGCCTCGCTGGAACCGCCCTCATTGGATCCGCGTTGGTCTGATGACCCGGCAGCCGTCCTGGACTCACTACTATCGCTAGATCGACTTTCAGTGGCAAGCGTCTCCCCCGATCCCTCATCCGAATCATAGGATCGCTGGGCCGTAGGAGTTCTGTCACCGTCCCCGTCCCCGTCCTCGCTGCCCTCTTCCAGCTCCGGCGGCTCCAGGCCCAGCTCCGAGTACAGGACGCCCTGCGTCTCGGGCATCTCCCCGGTCAGCCGCAACTCCTCATAGACCTTGCGAAGCGTCCGTCGGGCCCCGACCGTGAGTGTGTCCTGTTGCAGGCGGAGATTCTCCCTGAAGCTCCAGAGGAGCTCCCCGAACGGCGGCTCGATGTCCAGGTAGTTGTTGTCCTGTATGGAGAGGGCGACCTTCTCGAGCTCGCGCTTCCACAGCTCCTGCAGCACGCTGCCCCCGATCAGGTCGCGACACAGATTCAGAAACAGGGTCTCCGCCCAGCAGGCGAAGCTGGGCAGTATCACGTCGTTGCGCCCGATGTCCTGCAGGCGGTTCTCGCCCTCGCCGCTCAGCATGTAATCCACGTGGACGGCGCGCGGCCGGCGCAGCGGCGGGTCGCGCGCCTGCCACATGTACACGCTCTTGCGGTAGATCCGGACGGTCAGCATCGGCTGGTAGGGCTCGTCGTCGCCGGAAGCGGAGGATCCTGTGGATGACGATGAGTCAGTGGAATCGCTGGTGGTGCTGGATTCGCGGCGGTTACTCACCACAATCCGGGTTGCCTCTCGGGGGAAATGGAAGTGAGGTATGTCTGTGGGCGGTTGCTCGTGGCCCGTCATGGTGGGGCAGTCGGCGCCATGTTGGCAGCTCTCGAGACCGTTATCCTCGAGGGCTTGGCAGGCTCTCTCGATGTGCTTGTCCGTGATGATATAGCCACTGAAATCCGGGTAGTCGACCTCCATGCCGTAGAGCTCGAGGACCGGCGCTCCGAAGATGGTGTATCGGATCTTCTGGTCCAGGAAGCTGGAGACTACGAGTCCGCTGTAATCCATTCTGTACAGATGTGGGTGTGGTTTGCGGTTTTTGTACAGACTGACTCAGATAATCAAGGGGTTGAGAGTGAACGATACGACGGTGCTGGGTGATTGAAATGCATTTTATAGATCAGCTTGGGCGTACTTGTCTTTCAAGATGGTCTAGGTTAAGAGGGATTTACCTTGTGGCTTGGTCTCAAGACAATGATCCTGCCGTGCGATCTATGGCGGATTTTCAGCTCTTTATCCTAGACTGTGGAGTCTGAGATGGAATCAACGAAGAAGATATCCCCGACAGTGATTCACACCATTGTTGCTACTGGGCAATTACTTTCCACCAAAACATCCATCTCAAACCGTCCATGCCTTGTGCTATGCTCTTCAGGTAAGAGTTACGGTAAGGAAGTAGCCAGTATGATGGCTAATAGAAACCTCGCATATCAGCAGCATAGACCTATTACAAGGTGAGAAGCAAACAACTACAGCTCACGTGCCTGAGGTATCACTACCAGTATTAGCACATGCATAACTCATTACTAATATGTCCACAGTCACGGGACGGGACCCTCCCTTCCGCCTCGGCCAGTTCCACCGCCTACGTACATATCAAGCTGTCAACATCATCATCACCATCATCACCACCATCCCTCTATTGCGTCCACAATCAACCCAGCCATACCGTTACCGCTACCGTCTCCATGCCCCACCACCCCCCAAAATGACAGATCTAACCCCAACCCTCCACGAGCTCCTAAAAAGCAAACCCAATGCCCCGCGCCTCTCGAAGGGTTATCTCTCCACCGAGACAGCGGACGAGTTCCTCAAAGAAGCCTACCGGATTGTACGTGCCCCTAGCCTACCTTAACCCCCTCTCTCCCCTCGAACCCAACCACAAACAAAAACACTAACCCCCCCCCCTCCCCCCCAGAACAACCACATAACCTCCCTCCTCCACTACCTCCACCGCATCCGCCCCTCCTACCTCTCCATCAACCACAACCACCACCACCACAACAACAACAACAAGTCATCCCACAAAACCCCCTCAGACCCCTCACCCCTCGCCCTCCCCCCCCCACCGCCAAAAGACCTAACCGACACCTCCCGCGCCGAAATCGACACCTCAACCTCCCACCTCCTCCGCCAACTCTCCACCTCCATCTCCACGCTCGCCTCCGCCGAGACCCTCCGGCAGGAGACGCGGGCGCAGCTCCTCCGCAAGAAATACGGGAGTCGCGTGGGCGGCGTTCTGGCCCGGTGGGCGGCCGGCGGCGATGACGACCCGCAAACACGCGCAACAGCAACAACCCCCGCGCAACGCGCCGAGGAGGCCGCCGAGGACAACACGAAGCAGCTCCGCGCGGCGGTGCTGTGGTTCCTGCAGCGGAAGCTGGAGGGGGTCGTGGCGGTGCAGCGCGGGATGGTGGAGAAGAGGCTGGAGAGGGTCAGGGAGCGGGAGAGGAGTGTGCTTTATCTGTCGCAGCAGCAACAACAACAATCAAAACAGCAGCAGCAGCAGCAGTCGGGTAAGGAGTGGGGGGAGGAACGGGGGTTGGGGCACGGGTTTGGGCAAGGGCAAGGGTCGGGACATGCAGGCGACATGATGCTGCCGCCGGCGGGGGAGACGAAGGGCCAGCGGTTGGAGGAGACAGAACTACACGCCATTGAGGCGCAGCTCTCGCCGGAGCAGTTGCAGCTGTTTGCGGAGGAGAATGATGCCATGGTCAAGTATTATGAGGATACCTTGAGTAAGGTCCGGTATGTTTGTCTTTTTTTTTTCCCCTTCCCTTTGGCTAGGGCGGTGGAGGTCGAGGGCAACCCGAGCTAATTGTGTGTCTGTATCGCAGAACCGCCGAGAAATCGCTACTGGAGATCTCCTCCCTCCAACAGACTCTCGTCGCCCATCTGTCCACGCAGGAGGAATATATCAACCAGCTGGTCACGGACGCGAGCAACACGCATTCCAACATCGGGCAAGGAAACAAGGAGCTCAAGCGCGCGAGTGAGCGGCGGAGTACCGCGCAGGCGGTGTTTTGGGGCACCGTCGGACTGTGTACTTGGTTGGTGGTGTGGGATCTGGTCTTCTAGACTTTCCAGCTGTATAATTCAACAACACATTCTTAATTTTTGGCTTCTTTGCGCATTGGCATTATGATAACCCCCTAATGGTTTATGTCTGTATGTTCTGTATGCTGTGTTTTATGGTTCATTCAACGAAAAGAGCAACCCGCTTATGACGTCTCCCGCACCACGCTATCCACCGCCTCGGCAAAGTAATCCAGATTATTCGTGTTCAGTCCCGCCATCGAGATGCGGCCGTTCTTCGTCTGTCCCCGTTGTTAGTATGTAGCTACCAAAACCAACCGAGAAGAAGAACTTACCATGTAAACATGCCACTTCTCGCGCAGGATCTTAACTTGGCTCTCCGTCAACCCCGTGAAGCTAAACATGCCAATCTGATCCGTGATGTGCTGCCACGAGCCCGGCGTGCCCTTGGCTTCGAGCCTCTCCCGCAGTCCCTTGCGCATCTCCGCGATCCGCCCACTCATCGTCCGCAGGTCCTCCTCCCACTCGGCGAACAGCGTCTCATCGTTCAGCACCCGGCTCGCGATGCGCGCACCGTACGCCGGGGGGTTCGAGATCTCCGACCGCTGGAGGATGGCCAGCTGGGAGGCGATGTTGCTGTTGTTGGCCGCGGCCTCGGCGCCGGGCGCGGACACGAAGTGGAACGCTCCCGTGCGCTGGCCGTACAGACCAAAGTTCTTGGCGAAGGACTGCGCGATGCACAGCTCGAACCCTTGCTCGATGAAGTAGCTCACGGCCCAGGCGTCGCGGCGGAGGTCGCCCGAGGCGAAGCCCTGGTAGGCGCAGTCGAAGAAGGGGAAGTGGTGGCGGTCGCGCATCACGACGGCGACCTCCTTCCACTGGTCCTGGGTGAGGTCGACGCCCGTGGGGTTGTGCGCGCAGGCGTGCAGGAGGATGACGGAGCCGGTGGGGGCGGACCGCAGCGCGCCCAGCATGCCGTCGAAGTCCAGGCCCTTGGTCTTGGCGGAGAAGTAGGGGTAGTTGGCGAGGGAGAGGCCGACATTCGTGAAGATCTGGTGGTGGTTGGCCCAGGTGGGGTTGGAGAGGTAGATGGAGGGCTTCGCGGGGTGGAACTTGGCGAGGAAGAGCGCGCCCAGGTGGACGGCGCCGGTGCCGGAGATGGTTTGGAATGTGCAGACCTGAGAGGTGGGTTCTTGTTAGTATTGGATGCTGGTTGTCCCGTGTACACCAAAGGGTAGACGAACTCGGTTCTCGCGAATGGCGGGGCTGTCGGCGCCGATCATGAGCTTCTGCGCCGCGCTGGTGTAATCGGCCAATCCCTTGATGGGAAGGTATTCATGGTTGAGGTTGGGGTCGTTGCGCACAAGGTCGTCGGCCTGGATTTGGGTTAGTCGTGATCAAACTCCCACCTGGGAAGAGTAAAAAACCTTACCTTCTTCACAACGGGCAGAACCCACGGTTTGGCGTTGTTATCGCGATAGGCGCCGATAACGAGATCGACCTTCTTGTCGGAGGGATCTTGGCGGAAGGCCTGAGCGAGACCGAAGAGGGGATCCTCCGGGGCGGCGGGCACGTTGGCCGTAGAGAAGACGGTAGGGCTTGAGGAGCCCATGATGTGTGAAGATAGGGAGGCGAGACGGGAGGTAGCAGTGGAGAGGATGGAGGAAGCTGACGGGGGTTGGAAGGAGGAAGTGGAAGTGGGGATGGAGGAGGAGGAAGAAGAAGAAGAAGAAGAAGAAGAAGAAGAAGAAGAAGAAGAAGAAGAAGAAGAAGAAGAAGAAGAAGAAGTGGATGTAGAAGAAGAGGGTGCCATGAGAGCTTTGAAGTATGTCAGAGAATGGCCCAACAGGTCACACCACCTTAGGTTTCCTGACTGGTTGCTGCTTGCGTTCACCGGCAAGCAATTCGACTGGACCGAAACAGATAAATCCCGATGTGGATGATTTGGCCATAAACAAACACGCGAATAAATACTTCAATCGGAGTAAGCTGGACACAGAGCAGGGGGGCCGGCCAGTCGCCGATATTTAAACATCAAACTGTCGGAGAGCATGGGATAGGATGGTGAAGGGGAGAGAGGCTCAGCCGAGGATAGATGACGACATCCACATGTGTTAGTTATCTTGCCTTCCGACTGACTGGCATTGATCTTGCATACCATACGATAGCATGCTACCTGCTCTACGAATTCAATCCAATTCAGATCCTATTACTCTTTCTCTCTTCTCTGTTGTAAGTCCCTCCGGAGCACACGCAACCCGAATCATGTTCTTTCCAATTGCCCCCCGTGGTGGTGGTTCTTCAGCACCCCTCATCATATGACTGACAGTACAGTAAATAAGACTTATCGCTGCAGGTGAACCTGAAACCTCCGCTTTCATCCACCCGCAACATTCTTTCGACCAAATCCACAGAATCCATTGCCCATTGCATTCCTTCTATCAGTAAATCTTCTTCCCTCGATTCTCCTAATTCTTTCCACTGTCAATCATTCTTCCGGACCAACACAGGGGGGCAAAGAGAACAGCCACCTGCGTGGCCGACTCCAACCGACACTGGGTGGTGCCCCGCCCAATCACCGCGGCCTCGAAACCCCGATGTGTCATCCTCTTTTACCCCACTTACGGCAGACAACCGTCTAGCCCTGCGTGATTTTTCTTCGCCCCGTTTGAAGGGGGGGCACGTAGTTTTATTTTTATATTAGGTTCGATTGAAGAGACATTTAACCCCTCATGGGGAGGATGGATTGTACACTGTATTCACAATTTGGGTCCAGCATCATCAGCATCGAGAAAAGGTTTACAACACTACACTACCGGTTCCTACAATAATCAAAATAATAAAGATACATCATCAGAAGAATCAGAGCTCGAGATCACCCGCAGCTCAACTTGAACCTGAACAATCAATCTATTGCAATCCCATTGCAAGCCTCACTCAATCCAGCTTAAGGGAACTTCCAAAGTTCAATGCCCGTTAGGAAACACCTTCCCCTTCTATCCTCAACACTCAGACTTAGAACCAAGCTCGACCCAAACTGAAGTAGACTTCCTCGCTGGGGTGTTTAATCCAGCCAAAACACTTCAGTTGATAGTACACACAAAGAAAATCTAACCCCCCCCCCAAAATTATAAACCCAGAAAAATCTTGGAAATTGTCATGTTTATTTCACTCTACCCCATGGGGTTTTCAATCCTAGCCTCGCCGGATCCCGGAATCCGAAAGCAGCTGGGGCCTGGCAGTGGTTTTTTTTTTTTTTTTTTTTTTTTTTTTCGTTGGAAAACGGTTGTGTACGTAATTTGCGGGCATTATTCCCCCCCCGCGCCGCCTGCCCTGCCGTCAGTCCTTCTTCCCCGCAACATTTCCCCTCACCATTTTTTTTGACATTTAGTTCACAGTCAGGTTAGGTAATTCTTGTTGATTTTCCTTTCCCTTTCTCCGGGATTAGGTGCGGGTGGCTTAAGCTCAATACTTGGAAGCAGGGGGAAGGGAAGGGTCACGGTGCCATGGGATGGAAGGTTGGACGGACGGGCCCGGGATCTGGGAGGTCGGGAAGAAGGGGGAAGGATTCCCGATTCGGGGGTGGTGCGGGGCCTGCAGTGGTTCGAGGTGTGTCAGGGGCAATTTCTCCAATTTACCCGCGATGCAAAAGACTCTACGGTAGGCTTTGGGGTAAGTTGAGCGGTTGCTGAAGACTTTTGGAGGGGAGGGGTTGATCAGGGGAGTTTGTGTACCTCATGAGGAGAGGAAACAGTCGCTTCGCTTACTCCACCAAGTAAGATGTAGTGTCGGGTGAGTCCGCCTCCGCATCGAGTTTCCTCTTCTAGCATCAGCATCATCAACTGAGCTATAGCTACACGCTAATGTTCATTGCTACATACTGAGACAGTACCTGATACGATTATCTACACCTACGTTTCATAGCCCACAACATCGTCCTAAGGGAGATTCGATCTCCCATCTTCGATAAGAAAAGTGTAGTCCTATGTACAGCCCAGAATCAATAATCCCAATAACCCAAACAGGAGAACCCCTTCTCAAACGCCGTTTATTGCCCTTGACCATGTAACAATCAACCAAGCATGGAAACGCAGAAGAGAACAAGGATTTGCAGAAGATGAAGAATAGAGAGACAGCCGGTAGCAGCCAGGCCGGGCTATGTAACAGCATCCCATGATCGTCATTATCTTTGGCGTTGTCAAGTTGTCGTCGTCGTCGTCGTTCATCGCCCATGTCCTGTGCACCTGTGTTTGAATTCACAGTATAGCATCACATGAATGGCGTAACATGAAAGTAGAGCTGAAAAAAAATGCTTCGTCTGCGCGCGGTGCTCGAATGGGAAAAAAAAGGAAAACATGTAACATGCACAGACCGAGAAAATCGTCGTGTATGTAGATCGTTAGGTAGTGGCAGGGGCGGGTGTGACCGCTTCTTCTGGTGTCGGCTCGGTCTCATGCGCCCGAGTGCGCACGCGGAACCGCTCGCGCAGCCGTCTCGTCAGACCGCTACGTCGGCGGCGGTGCTCATCGCTCTCTTCGGTTGGGTCTGAGGATGAGTCCTGGCGAGTCGCCTCTTCCCGAACGCTGCGCAGAGCTGCGAGACGCTCTTCGACACTGGCATCGCGCATACGGCGGGCGTTCAGCGTGTTGTGGAGATAACTGCTCAGTCGACGGTGGCGGTGCTGGTGGCTGTTACCCTCGGGCGCCGTGGGCGTGGAACTGGCCGCCTCGGGAGCTGTTTCCGCGTGGCTATCGCCCGTGCCTGGGCCTTCTTCACCTTCGGGCTGAGCGGGGTTGAGATCGATACGACTAAAAGCATTCGTTAGTTTGGTCGCACAGTCATGTTCGAGGTGTTCAGAGAACATACCAAAGCGGGCAGGTGCCAGACACATTCACCAACCAGGGATCAATACACTCCGGGTGGAATTGATGGTTGCACGGAAGCACGCGCAGATCTTGGCCCTTAACGAAGTCGTCCGTGCAGATTGGGCAGGCAAAGTTTGGGTAATCCGTGGTCGTTCCCGCATCGGGGGCAGTGCTGCGTGGCTCGTCCGTGGAATGCGGCGCAGCCATCGGCATCTCCTGAGAATGAGGCGATATCGGAGCAGAGACCTCATCCGTCGTGTTCGTAGTCGCAGGCATGGTCGTCGTCTCACGTCCCTCCTCTAGAGTCTCACGAGACTGCGCCTCAGGTCCCATCGCCATCTCTACATCCCCCTTGGCTGCCTCGGTCTTGCCGCCTTGGTCGTTGTTGTCCCCGAATTTGACGATCGGGATCGTGTCAAGCATGGCTCGTGCTATGCCTCTTGCTCGACTCTGGCGCGGTCTTCCCGCCGTATGCCGCGGCCCATAGCGCTCAGGGTGGCGATGGGCCCGGACTGCTCCGGTAATGATGATGGCTAGAAAGAGCGCCGTGATGATACCGGTGATCGTGTACAAGATGATCATCGCTATTCCCAGGGGTCAGTCACCAGTAGTGAGGCAAGGAACTCAAACACATACCAGTGTTCGGACTGTCACCGGTCGACCCGACCTGGTTGTTCGTGTTCGAAGCTATGAACGACATGTTGGTGGACTTGGGATAGATGGTAGATGAGCCGTCCCCGAGGGAAGTAAGCTGTGTGGAAAGCTGCTTGGACCAGGGCGGGTTCAACACAGTAAAAACGTTGTCGTACTGGCTGGCGGATGAGCCGGAAGGTGAATACGTGCAGTGAGTTGCAGATGCACTGTACAGGATCACCGCGGCTGCCTTCTGCTGCGCGTTGAGGACGTAGTTCACCGTCTGACTGGCATCTAAGATCCCGGGATATGCAGAAGCGTCGCAACTGATGACAGCGATATCCTGGCTACTTAAAGACCGAGAATTGGTGGCGTCTACGTCCACCAAGCTACCCGTGATACGCAAATTCTAGGTCGGGTCAGTCCATCGGAGTCCCCGGAATACGCACATGGTCGTATATCTCAACATTCTTTGAGGCGGAGACGGCTTACTGTAAGTTCCGACTCGGTGAGATTGACCAAGGCCTGGGTCAGCGGAGCTAAGGTCACGGATGCGGCCGGCACGAGTTGAGAGCTGTTCAACAAGTATCTGTAGTCTCCAATCCAGGAGAGGTCTGCCGAGTTGTTGGACGGCTTCACCGTCCAGTCGCCCGAAATATCTGCAGCGACGATGGTGGGCGAGAGAAGAAGTAAGAGGATGGAGAAGATCAAGACGAGAGGAGGGGGGGAGTCTAGAAGAAAAGAAGAAGAGAAGGGAGAAGAAAGTGGGTGATGACGGGGAGGACCCATCGGCGAATCACTTAGTTAGCGATGGATGATGCTGGAGAATGGCCGGGTGTTCCCCACAGTGACGAGGCGAACGGAGACGGCGGAGAATACTGGAAGTATGGGGATGGGGAGGGGAATGGCCGGCGATCATCGGCCACGGGGCAATGAGTAAGTGATGATGTTGGTGATCACAGGAGGAGAATAAACAGTGGGCGCAAAGGCTTCAGGGTCCGAACAGGTACCGCTGGCCCAACCAGGGTGATATCACTGCGTGCAGGATCGGTTGATCGTCGGCGGCTACAGTTGGTAAATGAGGTGGTGGTGGTGGTGGTGGTGGTGGGAAGTCGAGGGACCGGGAGGGTGGGTGAAGATCTCACAGGCAGGCAGGTACTGTTACAATGATCGAAGAGCTGCGAAAATTGGGAAAATAAAAGAACATGCAGTGCAGTGGTGGACTGGATCAGTACCCATGGAATTGAAACAGCGGAGACTAGGATAAGCCCGAATTCGGGGAGAAGTGAGGACTAGAGATTTGGGAGAAGGGTGGTGGGGAAGAAATGATGAGAATAGGAATAATAATGTAATGGATGCTGCGGGCCTGGAGTGGGAACAATAAGGCAAGTATCAGTAAGTTCTAATTGACTAGTTTAGTACGGAGTAGCTGATGATGGGTGATGCAGTGCCCAGTTAATGGTAGATGCTGGAACCGACGGATGGGACTGGGAGGGCGGCGGGAAGACAGGCTGGGGCTTGCGATTGGATTACTATCACTTTAGTCTGTCTGTCTGTCTGTCTGTCTGCACCAGCCGAACACTTCCGGTGGGTTGGTTGTTGTTCGTCAGTACTCCGTAGTAAGTTGTCAATCCAATCAGTCAGGCTGACAATAACTAATACTCATGTCATAAAAGGATGTCGTTAACTCCCTTTAAGAACAATCAGCATCATCAACCGTCTGTCTGATCTGTCCGCTGCATAGCCCCATCAATCTGCGGATGATGAATCATCGCGATACGAACCGTAGAGTTGGTTGTCCAGTGACTGAGCCGCGCAAGCGCCAGTGCCATGGATCGGCTTGACCATTACGGTAGGCCTGAAATCGATGGATGGATGGACGGATGATGAGCGGATGAGCGACAGATTACTCACCCCGAAAAGAAGAGGCAGGGCAATATCAGAAACGATCTGATTGCTGGAGGCATCTGTCCGTGATGGTTGAAAAAGTGGACCCGCAAACCGGGATAAGATAAGCAAGTCTGAGTGTCTGACTGACTGACTGGCTGGCTGACGGGGCTTTTTCCTCTCTCTCGGTCGAGATTGTTTCAGTCCAGGCCTAGAGCAATTGATTTTCCTTCCATCGGCTATTGTGGTCCTATGAGTTCAAAATCACCACTTCGTCAGATGCAATTTAATTGCTGGGTGGCCCGTTTTCATTGATCGGACATGTAAAACGAAAGCAAAAGCAAGAGCAAAAGCAAAAAAGCAATAAATCAGTACAACAAGAGAGCACTGAGCACTGGGGGTGTGCGGGGATGGCAGGGCTTGGCTCGCCCGCCGATCCTCTCTTCTCTTTTCCACTCTTCTGAGGTTCGGAGCTTCTTCCTCCCTCAATTTTTAGCTGTGGATGGACCCTAAAAGCCCCTCCCACCAACCACTATGCGCAGTACGGTCGACTATCATCAATCCGGGTAATGCAGTGAGGCGGGCTGGATAACAATGAATGATGAATTCTATCAAAGGCCAGATAGACTTTAGCAAGGTCTGTTCTGGATGGCCCTACCGAAAAACTTCGACCACGAAAAAGTCTTTATACTTATAAATCATTGTTAGACCAACAGGACACCTGACCGCATTGCATCATCCGTAAACAAAAGTCTGTTCAGATCTGTTCAACTATGTACAGTAGCTTATCCAGCATCGAAGTAGTGGTGTCCCAGTAGCACAAAAAAACAAAGCGACACGCAACATGGAACAGACCTACCATACACACCCTTACCACAATCAACTCGACAACACTCACCGGGCGCATGGGCCTCGGAAGGATTGTTTGCTTTCTGTTTCGGCTCTTCCTGGCTTTCTCCCAATTTCCCTTTTGCTCTTCCCTTCCTCCCTAACCCCGAATTTTCCAACGTGGTCTCGCGTCATCCAGCCAGAATGGATTATAGGCAGATCAATTCGTTATTGGCTCCAATGAATCGACGGGCTTTGGTTACATCTTCACTCTTTTCCCTCAATCCAAAACTCTAGATTTCCCCCCCCCCGCCAGGCTATTCTATCGAGACTTGTTGAGGTGGCTGACTAAGACCCCATCTCCCGCCTCGGGAAGATTGCCTTCCTTAAACAACACCAGTAAGCCCGGTAGATGATAATAGACAACGGGCACGCTATTGAGGAAGGTCTGCTGCGACGCGTGACTGTCATGTCTCTTTTTTCCCTCATGCATCAGTACATCTCCGGTGAATGTCCGCGCCCTTTTCATCCATCCTTCCATGTGGAGAGAGGGTGTGCCCCGTCCAACCTCCCACCCCCCCCTTCTCCCTGTCGAGCACCGAGACACACACATCCCGAAACTCCGAAATCGGAGCGTGGCTTATCATCCTGTTGTGGCCAGACCAGACTGGGACGGCTGAGGCCGCTAGTGAGGGAAGGGGTGGCACGTAATGTACATAAAATTCAACTCAGATTAATGCTGTGTTGGTTTTGTGCAAGTGCCAACTTCCCTAACCTCCGTACTACTCGTACGTAGTCAGAATCCGATCTGACACCCGAAACAGACCGGGGCTTTGTAGTCTGTAGCTTATCCAGCGGGGAGGGAGTTTTGTGGGTAGGATAATACCCTCGGTCATTAACTACTACCCTCGGCCCCTGGCAACGGAGATAGGTAGTCATCTTACCGTATTTCTCGTCTAGCCTGCAAAGGAACCTTCCCCAAAACCGCGACGCCCCCCTTTTCCTAATATACTGCATTGTTAGCATCGGGTCCAGGTAATATGGCTATCAGTCCCGTCCACCTCCCTACCCCCCGCGACAAACCTGAAGTTTAACTAATCGAGATTAGGGCCGGGTCGAAGCATCAATGGTGTTCCTATGTTGTCCTGGCGTGGATCAGGTACTGTGACTTCGTGACCAGTGAATTCTAGGAGAGATGAACAACGGTGGCTATAACGGACGAGATTAATTCACCCGCCTCACCTCACCCCTACACACACCAAAGTACTCCGGATCCCCCGCGCGCTCAAAGTGCATCGCAAGCTACTCCGAGGTAGGAAAAAGCGAAGAAAAACGGCATTGCCCGGGACTAGTGAGGGTTTCCGAGCAGGGATGTGCAAATTGTGTGGTGTAGTCTAAGGTATAGAGATGAAAAGAAGTGCCAATGGGGGGCGATTGCCACTTGACTGCAACGTCTCGGGAATTTCTCAATCCGATGCGAGGGTGTAGTTACTGGCTGCATTAATTGACGAAAAGTGAGCCCCCCCCCCTCCTGTGGCTGAACCATACCCAGCTGGGATATACTGACAGGGCACAGGGCACATGCCTCCCCGCCTATCGTACCTATGGGAGGAGAGGCGAGCTACATATTCTATGCGTGTCTCTTGACCCCCAGACCATTGGTACTGTACTTTCGTACATGGTGCTGAAGGTCACGACCCCTATACTATGCCCCGACAGGGCCTTCATGATTCAGGACGCAGCTGGCTCACTTGGAGACGCGCCGCGGGCTGGGCGGGCTGGACTGGCTGGACCGCAGCCCTGCACTTGCCACTAATTTGCTTTTCAATGCTACGGTGCGACGAAGACCTCTGTGTGATGTGTGCTACCACCTGTAAGATGCTTTGCAGCTGACATCCATGTTCACCTGGAGACTAAGCTTTGACATCCTGGTTGCATATTGTCAAGGTGATTCCGGGACGATCAAGACAAGTGAAAGGGCGATAGGGGGGAGGCAACTGACTGCTCCGATGGAATCTGCGCAGGAGCAGTACCGGTAAAACTTATCTGTAGCCAAGTCGCTTGTCGGCTTAGAGAAGACACCGTGGTTAGCCTTGTGTGATATATCGAGTGCATACATGAGTTGCGCCCTGATATAAATTTTCATCAAGTTTCCCATTTCATCTGTTGGGATGATCAGCGGGCAAATGTGGAGGGTCCCAACCCAATACTTATATCCGTGTATAAGGGGGTTCTGTTTTGCTGCATATGAGTTCAGCCATGAGAAACTCGCCTAATTACCTGCGCCAGCCGGAGTACATCTGAAGAAGACATCCGTCTATAACATACAGGTAGTTACACCCACGGTCTATGTTGACACCATCCATGCACGGCCCAACAGGGCAACAGGTGAAATGTGTCTAGGAAGATCCAGCCATCCTGCATGCGCACACGAAACTGACAGGTCGAGGATGCTCAGGGGAAAGTCCCCATCGGACAGGGCCACTTAGGCAGTGAGAAGCTGATCGAGCCGAATCTGTTGTGCCTCCTCGCTAGCAAATGTTGTATCACACCCATGCTCCCCAGAACTTAGCCATATCGACTACCTAGTGATGGTTAGCACCTGCCGGCATCGATGGCACAGTACTCTCCGTACTTTGTGTATCCCAGCAAATTGTCTGCTCGGTGGGCTGGACTACCCAAGTAAGCACATACACCAGCCCCAAAAGGCAACTATGCGCATCGACAGGTATACTATATTCGGCTGCACATATAAGGGGGGAGCGAGAAAAGGAAGAGAAGACGACGTGCGGCGACAAGGCGATTGAGCCCGGTCGCAACTTAAGGCCCGCAATATAGGGATGAGATCACCAAATCCCTACTTTCGGCCGCGCTTATTCATGGAGTAATTATTATCGGGAACGACAGTCAAAGAGAATGATGCCGTACTGCCGTACTGCCGTATTGCCGACCAAAGCCGTGATCAACTAGTGGTATGCCATCTATCCTGGTCTAGGTAAGATGGGGTGATGGTGGTGGTGGTGGAGGAGGAGGAGAAGGAGGTGGAGGTGGTGGAGTGGAGGAAGAGGAGGGGGAGAAGAGAAATTCGGATTGGTTGATGGAGCCGGGTCTCGACCTTCATCGCGGCGTGGGCCCGTGACAGCAACACTTGGTCCGTGTGTTCCGTCCCGGCTTCTGTGTCTGTTTGTCTGTCTTGTCTGTCTGTCTCTCAGTCTCTCTCTTTCTTCTCCTTCTCACGATCTCTCTCTTCCTCTTGCTGA